CCATATGAATACGGTAAAAAACAAAGATTGAAGTATAGAAAGTTGGAGAAGAGGAAGAAAGAAGGAAAAAAGAATAAAGTAGTCGCAGAATTAAATCCTTAATCATCGAGTTGTTAAATTCTTTCCTGTCAGCTTAAATAAGCTTCTTGTTAACTCCATCATTATTTCATAATGCTGAAAATATATTTGCCTGTTCATTTGAAACTGTTGAACTGTCTCTTATAGGTAAACATTCTTGATGGATATGGCTGTTGCACTGCGGTACTACAAAAAGATCCTGATGGACAGTTGTTTGGTTTTGGATCCCCTGCAGGTCAAGACTTTTTGTCAAGGAATCCCGAGTTGATGTTTAAATTCAAAAGCCATTTTGGTGGTAAGCTTTTCACTAATTTTTTGCAGTATTTCTGCACTATTGTTTGAGTTCTGCAAAATCTAACACCTCCATGTAGGTCAAGCGGGGTTATAAGAATTCCGCAACAATAGGGTTGTGAATTTTTTACTCCCAAAGGAAAGAAGTTTGAGAGAAAATAAAATAGCTTGATGTCATAGAGATATGTCTCCTTAATTATGTTGTTCCAGATACAGAGAAGCTTGAGCTTTAAAGGCTCAGGAGAGACATTGGAAAACACTAAAGATCAAGATTGTTTATGGAACAACATATAGAAGACTGAGGTGGATAACTTTGAAGGAGTTCAACAAGGTAGCATTGTGGCAGTTAATCTTGATGGCAACTACAACCCTTCGCATCTGACCAAAGTGAGGGAGGTCACTAACTCCTTAACAATGCAGTGGCTTAAGGGTAGTTACAAAGGAAAGTGGGTATTATGGCCTGGATGGACTTCCACCCAAATTCCTAAAGAAAGTGTAATTTATTTTGATATTGAAGTAGATGAGAATGATAAACTAAGAAAGGAGTCTGCACAGTTCTTAAAGCGGAGGTACTAAGTATCAAAAAAGCGATGAAATGCATTTTCATGCTTTAATGTAGATAAAGGCTTTCCATTGAAACCTCAATCAATAGGTCTGCTTATTTATTGGTGAAACGGTAATGTGGTAAACTGTAAGATATTGAAGGTCAGTTTAGTACCAACATGTCTAAGATAGAAATTTTTGGCCATGTCTATAACTACTGAGTTAATAAAATTCCAATAACATGATAAAATGCAACATGTTCGTTAAGCCAAGATTAATCCAAACGTGTGTAGAAATTTCCATAGATCTGCAAAATGTGTAGTAATGTACATGGTTAAACGCAAGATGTTTGGTTATGTTTTATCCAACCAACATCGCTAAAACCTTCCTCAACCTAATCGAGAAACACTTCCCACCAAACTACGATCCTCACCCCGTCTTTAGCAAGAACAACATGAAAGTAAGCTACAGTTGCATGCCGAACATGGGCAGCATCATTAACAACCATAACAAGAAAATTCTTAACACCACCACCCCAAAAAGCGGATGCAACTGTAGAAAAAAAACCAATGCCCGCTAGATAACAACTGCCTCATCACCAGGGTAATCTACAAAGCCAACGTAACCACAGACAAAGGCAACACAGGGAAGAGTTACATCGGACTAACAGAAGGAGCATTCAAACAATGATATACTATCATTCTGCAACAGGAAATATGCTAACTCCACACCTTTAAATTATAGTTTTGCTCTTACAGGCATGTCTTTTAGAGATTTACCACTTTTGTAAGATATGATCAGTGCTTTATAAAGGTCATTTGTGACGTGTTACAAGATTTGCACATTCAATGAACACCTTTTGCTCATTATTGCAACAGTATTTGCGCATACTTAACTACAAAGCCATATCTGGGATTTCTATCTTAATGCTTTCATGAAATGAAGGTGTTTCCTGAAGCTGACTTGAATGTGATGCCAATCTGCATTGAAGGATTTGGTCTAACTGCCCTTGAAGCAACTTCAACTGGTCTTCCTGTGATTGTCTCTATTTTTATAATTTTTAACATATTACAAACAAAATTTATGGTTTCAATTGACACCGTCGCAACGTGATTTGCTAATATTGAGCTCATAATGAGCTAAAAAACCGTATCTGGGATTTACCACTTTAAATCAATGAAGCTGACTTGATTGCAATGCCTGCGTGCACAGAAGGATTTGGTGTGAAGCAATTTCAACCAGTATGCCTGTGCTTGTCTTTGGTGAATAGCAGAATGGACAGTGGAATGTCTGTGGTTGTTTCCTCAAATTCACCTGAGGAATAGGAATTGACTTTTCTAATTTTGATTGTTAAACAGAACGGGAACTTATTCTTTCTCTGGGATTTTCTGGGGTTTGTATTTCGCGCTTTGACGAAGTAAAGAAGATGTTTCGTGAAGCTGACTTGATTGTGATGCCAACCTGCACAGAAGGATTTGGTCTGGCTGCCCTTGAAGCAACTTCAGCTGGTATACCTGTAAATGTCTCCAGTTTTAACATTTCGAACATTAACGAATGGGAGCATATTTTTCCACACCAAGGCGTTTTAAAGATGACGCTTTCAATCGATACCTTTTGGTTTCCGTCACAACGTGATTTGCACATACTGAACTACAAAACCATGTCCAGGTTTGTACTTTAACATTTCAACAAAATGAAGATGTTTCGTGAAGCTGACTTGATGATGATGCCATTTCACACAGAAGACTTTGGTTTGGTTGCTATGGAGGCAATTTCAGCTGGTATTCCTGTGATTGTCAACGAGAACGTCTCCGGGAATTGTATGTTAAGGAAATGCAGATGTTTCATGAAGCTGACTCGATTGTGATGCAATCTTACACCGAAGGCTTTGGACTGGTTGCCCTGGAAGCAATTCCAGCTGGTATGGTGGTGTTTTACTTCAGTGAAGAGCAGAGTGAATGTGGGATGTCTCAGATTCACCAGAGGAATATCGATAAGCCAAAGGTAGCTTTGTCTTATCATGGGAACTTATTCTTTTAGAACGGGAACTTATTCTTTCACGCCAAGACGTTTCACCAGATTTGCACGTTTAATTAACACCTTTCGCTTAACATCTCAACGTAATTTGCGCATACTTAACTACAAAGCCATATCATGGGTTTCTATCTTAACGCTTTAACAAAGCGAAGGTGTTTCGTGAAACTGACTTGAATGTGATGCCAATCTGCACAGAAGGATTTGGTCTAACTGCCCTTGAAGCAACTTCAGCTGGTCTTCCTATGATTGTCTCTTTTTTTATAATTTTGAACACATTACAGACAGGTACCTATTCTTTCATGCTGGGACATTTTTGTGATTTACGCTTTCAATCAACACCATTTGCTTTTCATCACAATGTGATTTGCCAATATTGAGCTACAAAACTGTATCTGGGATTTGTACTTTACTGCTTTAAATGAATGAAGATGTTTCATGAAGCTGACTTGATTGTGATGTTGGAGCACAGATCCTGCTCTTAGCTCTACAGTTTTTCCCTAGTGCAATGTCCAGGGATCGATTCCTCCAGATTCTGCGATACTTACATTTAGCAGACAACACCCAAGCCCCCAGGGCTGACTCAGCTGGTTACAATAAATTGAACAAAATTCAACCATTCCTGAACTTGGTAATACCCAAGTTTCAGCAAGTGTATAAATCTAACAGGCAGCTTGCCGTCGATGAAACTTTGATAAAGTTCAAAGGGAAAGTACACTTTAGACAGTTCCTTCCGATCAAGCCAGGGAGGTTTAATTACGGCCTTTACTCTCGCAGAGTCTACCAGTGGCCATTTGTTAAATAGCAAAATATATACTGGGAAAGAAGGTGATGAAGTCAAGAGAGACTTAGGTAGAGAGGCTGTGATGTCAGTCATGGAGCCTTACCTAGACAAGGGATATTATGTCTTTATGCACAACTATTATACTTCCTTTGCTTTGTATGAGGAACTTGAAGAAAGGAGCACCCTTGCATGTGGGACAGTAAGATCTAACAGGTTAGGCCTGTCAAAAGAAATATGTGGCCCAAAAGAAAAGAAAGTAAAAGAGCCTAAAAGGGAGAAAGTTTGTATACGCAGAAGGGAAGTGTGACATGCGTGACCGAAAACCAGTGAGCGTTTTAGCCACCATTCCCACGAGTGAAGCAGACGAAAGTGTTGTTCAACGCTACGTGAAAGTGAAATGAACTTGGGGAAAAAAGGGACTCTGCTAGGCCAGGTGTAATTGGCCTCTATAATACTCATAGGGGTGGTTTAGAAATGGTTGTATCTTACGCCTGACTCATGAGGGGGGTGGTCTGGTATTTCAAGGTTTTTTTTTGCATTTGAAGTGAGTACTTCAAATGCACACATTTTGCATTGTAAATCCCCTAATCGTGCCTACATTTCAAGTCTTGAGTTTAAGAAGTCAGTGCTTAAAGGGCAAATCCTTTAGGAGAGACACAGGAATTCATCACATCCCAGTCTCTATCTCTGATATCAGGTTCAACCGTGACCATTTCCATCACCTTATAAGTCGTGACACCAGATCTACCTGTAAGGTACACATTCAACAAGTGAAAACTACATACACCTGTGCTGTTTAAGGAGTAAGAATGTGTCCAGAACCATGTCTCAATAGATATCACATATTATTTATTATTTCGATGATGACCGTTACAATAGCCCTAGACGACTGAAAGAGGGAGGAAGGAGGCCTTTTCTTAGAGGAAAAAGGAGATCACTGCGAAATTAAACATGTCAGGGTTTGTTGCAGTGTGCATAAATGAACCTGTGAAATATGTGATTGTATGGATGAGTTGATAGAGATTAACTAAAACTGCATATCTCTTCAAAAGTTACATAATTTTACCTTTTCACATGTAATTATACAGCTTATTTAAGCACTCATTTTCAAACTGTTTAGTAGAAAGACACTTCTGCAGCTTGTTATCTTTTGAACTGTAACTTTTGAACGATCAGATATTGCAAAATCGTGGATTTTGGAGGAATTTTCATCTGCTTTATAAAATTTGCATAATTATGCAAATTATGCACGCCGTGATATCACGTGATTTCATATATCCCAGAATATTTTTAATTGATATGAACAAGAATTTAATACTCTTTGTGAACATATATGGTTTTGTGAGGTTTCCATGTAATGTACTTGTTTAGCAAGCATTGTAACGCATAGTGCTTGTATTCTCTCAAATTAACCCCACTCCCCCGTAGTATGCCAAGGGTTAATCCACACCTTTAGGTTTCCATCGCAATGTGATTTGCACATATTGACCTTTAAAACCGTTTCTGGAATTTGTATTTTAACATTGTAACGAAATGAATATGTTTAGTGAAGCTGACTTGATTGTGATGCCAACCTGCACAGAGGGATTTGGCCTGGTTGCTCTTGAAGCAATCTCAGCTGGTTTTCCTGTGCTTGTTTCTAGTGAATTTGGAATAACAAAAGCTCTACAAAGTGTGAATGTCTGAGGTTGTTGCCTCAGACTCACCAAAGGAAGAGGAAGGCCAACGGTAGTAGGCAATCAATGGTCGCTACCTATAAAGGAAATTTACAGGCAGTGAAATTCATATGAGAAGAACGACTCCAACCTGTATAGACATCGATGGATGGAATATGTTACATTCTGCCACGCAGGGTCGTGTGCCTGAAATCATTGCTCTGATCCTTTCTCACCCGCTGGACATTGACCCAAGAACCGCCAAGGGTTACATGCCGCTAACGGTTGGGGCTTTTTTCCCCAAAGGTAATTATGTAGCAGCGAATTTGCTTCATACGAGGGGAGCAACTTACAATCACCTTGAATTTTTCTTTTTGATTAAGTCTAATATGATTGCCTTATAGTAGAGAAATTCATAACATGAATCTTGCTTAGCCTAGCTGTATCATTTGTTCACAGTTCCGAAAGGCAGTGAAGGAGATGATTAATGAGTCAGCAAATCGTGTTTCACGCATCATTTATCAAAGAAAGTAAAGTTTTAACTAGGGCTGTTTTAGAACCTAGCCTGCTGTTAGAAATCAGAACTACTGAATAATTATCATCATGTATCATTCATTGATTTTGTTTTTCTCATAAATTTTTTTTTCGTTGGTGATCTGTATAGTTAAGTGAGTAAATAGAATATCGCAAAAAAATTAATTTTTACCAGCTTCAGACCAACAGTTGTTAATAACAGTCGGGATTTGCTAAGCAGGCCAACTTCGCAAACCCAAGAAGCCAAGAGTTCGGAGAGCCAAGGAAAGAGACCAGCTGGCCGACGTATCGTGACAAACGAAATTTAGCAATGACACTAATTAAATGTATTAACGAAAGTAGTAGGATGGAGTCAATAGTTCAAAGGAAAGTACAACAACGACTTTTGGTTTGTTCATGCTGAACCACACTCCAAAGAACAAAAGAAGCCATCCTTTGAATGTACATTACTAACTCTGATCTGCTCGTCTATCTTCATCTTAAATCAAAGACGTAGAAACTTTACAGCATTTATAATTAACTTAACAGGTATGCAGAGCGGTACAATATTTGGCTCTCAACCATACGATCTTCCACTGAATGAAACCACAACACCACAGTACCTAAAGTCACTGGGATACACAACACCTGGTGTAGGGATAACAGAGCCAACAGATTTTCATCATAAAATCCAAGTATCCTTATTGAAAAGCCTTTGGCAAATGGAACAGCTTACCAAATGAAATAAAATCATGTCAAGATTGATACAGTCTAGCAGTAAGTTATGTAATTTCTCAGTTGCCAATATTTTAAAAATCTCTCTAAAAATATTTATTTTAATACTGTATACTTATAGTATGGTTGACAATAATTCAAATTATTATTATAATCATTCTTATTATTATTATTATTTATTTTTTATCATCGTTATTATAATTCTTTGTACAGTTTTACAAACTCCCTTTTTCTTCTGTTGGTGAGTAATGAGTCTGGTCATTATAATACAGAGTTGTTTACTGCAGTTGCAGAGAAGATAATTAATGAACAAAATGCATCAACGCCACTTTTTCTATACATTGCACATCAAGCTATACATTCTGGCAACATACAGCAACTACTACAGGCACCAAAGAGATTGGTCGATGTACATCACTTCATTTAGCAATTCCTTATTCACATTTTCCAACTTAGAGATAACTTGTCTTCAATTTTTACCACTTTAAGCAAACTCAAAAGCCCATATGGTTTCCTGATGAGTCACATTACTGACAGAATATATGATAAAATCTTTCTCTAATTTTCCTCAAAATGGCATCAAATATATGCCAAATTATTGCTCATCATTGAATGACACACAACATTAACAATTTTCTCAACACAGGCCACATCTTGACAACTCCAGAGCCACTTCTAAACACCCTCATCATATGCTTCAAGTGCCAAAATTCTAAACATAATTATTGCAATTCCAAATTATATAGCAAGGAATTGACTGATCATTTGGAATTTGCAACATCAATAGAAACTACAAATGCAATCCCAAGTTAAATGGATTGATCAAACGATGAGATGTTAAGAGTTGGGAACTGAGCACTTCATATAGACATGAAAATAAAGAGAAAGATGATTCCAAAGTTGACATTAGCGGTCCTGAAGTTAGCACTCCCAACTACGTCACTCTTGTTAATGATTTAATCCCTGGTCACTGCACCCAAATTAGCCACGAGTCCGGGCAACGAATCAATAACAACTTAGCAAAAAAGGCAGGATCTGTAAGAACCAAGTACAGTAATTCAAAGAATGGTGGAGAGAGAGGTCAGCTTGATCAGAAAACCCTTAAGGTTAGCATTTTTCAGAATGAACTTGTATCACTTAAAGGTGTTGAGGAAGAACTAAATGGGCTCAAGACAAGAGATTCAGGAATGAAAGAGAAAAATTGAAGACTTGAGAGCTTAAAAGAGAGAACTAGTAAAATAAATGAATCGCCCAGTGAATCAATCAGCATATGTAAATAAATATGTTAAGGAAGCAATGAGTATTTAAACAGGAATAGTGGTACCAGTAAGATACATTTGTATCCAAGTAATTTTCAGAAAACAGTGAACCTTTACTGTTTAAATATCAGTGTAGCAGTTCCTATGAATTGCAAGGTGTAATGGTTTCAACCTTTTTAGATTCACAATAACTTTCTTTAAAAATGAATAATTAAAGTTAGGAGACAAATAAAATCTAACATCAAACTAGGTTGAAACTATATTAACCTGAATTTCACTTTGAACATTAACTTTCATATTATCATATTAATGCTGTTTCTTTTGAGGCAGCCTCAAAATAACAGAGGAAAATAGCAAGGACATTGACAGTCCAATAGAGCAAGATGCCCCTCTTGATGATCTCAAAAAGCAACAACTTGCAACTCAATAAAAAAATCGTGTTTTGAGTATCCCTGACAACTGGGAAAAGGTATGGGAAAAGTTGCTGAATTCGCACCTTAAAGAACAGCATCTCCCAGACAATGTAAACTATATAAACTGTCAAGAAAGTATTGCTACAACATAATGTGAATACTGTGGCCCTCACCAGTACTTTTGTGTTGGATATGTACGAGCTCTACATGTTAATCAAACCTTGCTTCATGTACTTGAGCAGTGGAAGGTGTGTATGAATGTTTTCTGGCCAGATGTAATTTATTCTACCTACTTTTAGTGTAACATATCTAGTTAAACTGTACTTTTATCTGCATCTTGCTTTCTTTATTTTAATAGGATCAAAATTTGGGTTAATTTCTCAACTTCTAAAGTTCACTTTGGCGAGAAACTCTCTTCACAAAAGTTTCAGTGATTCTGGTATTTAAGAAAAGGCTACCTCGAAATAATAACATTCGAAAAATGAGGAAAAGGGAAAACAAAGTTACAAGCAAAACCAGTTTTGAATTCCCAATTATTGCAATTACCTCATTTTCCTCCAGAAAGTATCAAATTTTTCTTAAAAACCACCAATAAAGTTTAATTTTTATTTCAGTGATGTTTTCACTTTTGATCCTGATGATGCCGGTGCCTTTAATGTCTTTAGCGACCAAAAAACAGCCGGTGGGGGGTGGACAGTGTTTCAAAAGAGACTGGATGGCCCAGTGTATTTCTTACTCAGTCTGGAAGATTACAAACGAGGCTTCGGAAATTTTAACGGTGAGTTTTGGCTCAATTGGAACATGAGAAAAGGAAGGATTACTAGAAAAAAAGTCCACCAAGAATGAATATAGTTATATAAGAGAAGGAAAGCAAGACCTCTTTAACCTCTCTAAAGAAGGAAAGAAAGACCTCATGCAGAAAAATTGTAGTGGACATAAAACAAAAACTTTTAGATAGAATTCAAAGTAAAAGATTTGTTGATTACAATGATGCAAGACTATTAATTAGAATATTTTGTTCAGTATGAGTAACTCCATGACATGGTATACTATGATACTAATCAGAGCACTCTCTTTGGATACAACAAGTACAGCTCCCAGGGAATATCAAAAGTGTTACTCAATTTATGGTAGACAGGTATGGAATATTAGTTTCATAGTGTACAGAGATGATTTTTTTTGTCACTAAAGAAACCAAGAACCACCATATAAGGTGCACTCATAACAAAAATGGAATTTTTAAGAAGAGGAGTCAAAGTTAGGTTGGATGCTCATATCTTATGAAATTTTGAGGATTCTCTCACTTTGAGCAAGTGTGAGCACAAGTGGTCTACAAGTGCTGCTCCTCTAACAGACACTAAATTGAAAAATTCAGTTTCTAACCAGCCTAGCAACTGAAAACCTACTACCTTTTCTACCAAAACCCAACAAATCCTTCTGTTTAGTTAAAGGGCTTATTTACATGTTGCAGTCAATAGACAACAGAACCTCTCAGTTGGAAAAACCAAACTCAACTGCACAAGCATTGTAGCCTCACCAAGAACAACTGCTAGAACCTGTGATCTAACTCATGCAGATGAATCAATGGCAAATGAGGAATGGTTGAAACAACATGAAAAGGAGTGCAATGTAAAAAGAAAGAGAAACTACATTCACTTAACCCACCCCTTAATTAAGTTCAGGAAAAACTTCTTTTATATATTCCTTTATGAATTACCAAGAACATTAAAAGAGGCCATGCTGCTCTCCAATTTTAGGACCTTTTTTAACCAATCTTACGTCATATACGAGATAATGCTGAAGACAATGCCAGCTGGCAGTCTCAGGCATCAGTTAAGCAAGGTAACCTGAGGGTTTTTCAATACTCAAGTACTTTTATTGCGCTGTGTTTAGTGTCAAGCCAGTTTCACTCATGTTTCCTTTCTCACTAAATTGCCAACAGCTTCTCTGCTTTATGGTTTCCTCTGTTTAGTATTCTTATATTTCTTATATTCTTATATATTTTTATATTTCTTACATTTCAATATTTCAGAATGTCCATCTCTGAATCATTTATATCACATAAGATTAACAACAGTCTTATATTTTTGCATAAGGATCCTACACCAATCAGTTCAGTGTATTAGCAAAAGCAAACCTCAAATTTGCATACAAGCACTAGAAAGTAGATTAAGAGAGCTCTTCAAGTGAATAGTGATCCTTTTTTCGAAACATCGCATGCAAAGGGGGAGCAGGATGCTGCTGGAGCTAATGTCAAACAGAAGGTGAGCCATGCAGTTCTTAGAAAGACAGCTGTAATTAGGAATACTAAAGACACAAAAGAGTATGTTGAGGAGAATTTTGCCACTCCAGCAGCCTCTACATTTGCATTACGATCCAAAGCAGTGGGTCTCGCTCGTAGAATATTCTTTTATGTTCCCCCAGAAGGTGACGAGGAAGTGAACAGATGCAGACCAAGACGACTCCTGAACAGGGAAGGGTCTTCACCAGAAGCCACAGTTGTTACTGCATTGACTGCATTAGTGGTGAGGAGGAGAACTGTAGCAACAAAGAGTGGTTAGATGCCTGGAAAGATGTTAAACTGGAAAGAGAGTCATCTGTTGCAACAACACAAGCTGTTGAGGAAATGGAAGCTATTCCACTTGACACTGCAGTAAGGGTTGCAGATCTTGCTGCCAAGGACAGCGTGGTGGCTATTGCAGCGGCCAACGACGCTGACTATGATTACTATTTAATGAAAGTAACAAGTGATGGTGTAGTGGAATTAGATGATCCTACAACAGATGACTATGGCTGCACCTTCCCCAGAGGTTTTCTTGGCCTTGAAGGATATTCTTTTGTCAGAGATAACATCATTGACATGACTTATAAACTAGACAAAAACAAAACAGCTTTTGTCCTTGCTGGCACGGTGCGGCACATTTGCGGGGAGCTACAAAAGTGTAGAAATAACATTTATAAAGTCCCTTTGACTGTAAATGAAGAAATAATTGCTTCTTTGTGATACTGTTTGCTTTTTCCAGTAATTTTTGTTATATTTTAGCCATTATAGCCATGCTAACCAAATCATTTAGTGATATGCCATGCCCACAAAGGATTCTGGGTAACAAAATATGCTTTAAATGAGAAATAAACAATGAAAACTTGCCAAATATGTTTTTCTCATGGCAATTACTTTAAATCTGGGAAGTTACAGTTGTTTAGGTATATTTAAAACATATTTATGAAAATGCCCCTTGTTACACCCGTGTACATGTGTATCATGCTACAAGTCTAGATCAAAGAAACACACCAACTAAGGCACTAGGAACAAGCCTAGCTAAGAAGTTGATGCCTCACCACACCACAAGCTTGATACCCACAGCCACAAGTATCAAGCTACTGCACCCAAAAGTTCCATCAATGTTGAAGATGAAAAGACAAAAAAGCTTAATGATAACTAGTGAGTGATTCTCCTGCAGCTCACCAGAGATAGATAAAGGACAAGATATCAGACTTTTACATTTACAAAACAATCAGCCTGCTAAATGACTACTTTTATGGAGGCATTGTCAGATAGACCCTATATGGTGAAAACAAACACAGACAAGCAAGTCTGTTATAGAAACTAATAACTTTTAGCAAGCTGAGAAACTAGCTGCTCCATTCAAGGCAGTTGGAGACACTGAAAGCTAGCTTTCAAAGCACAAGGTACAGATACTAATACCAGAACCAAAAGGCACATATCTACACCACCTTCTCTTCCAGTGACAAGGACTCAACCCAGTGTTGAAATACCACCCTCTACATGTAGGTTCAGTGACTTTCTTATTTAGTTTGCAGCTTTGAAAAGTGACCACAAATACACACAAAAGAGGGATGTTCACACTACCTCAGCTTAAGACAGTGTGCACACCAGATACTCAAAACTGGGAGTTTCATGTTTTCTTTTGTAAATAGGTGAATATTCTTGACAACGAACCATACACTATAGAGCTGTAGCAACATGAGGCTCCTTGCCAGAGGGGTTGGGGAACTGGGTGGGTGAAAAAGAAACTCCAGGCCCTTCTCTTTGATGAGTTTTAACTGTACAAACACTTGTATTAAAATTAGATTCTTCACAGCTTTAAGAATTACAAATTGTATTCATGTCAATATTGATATTAGAATATTACTACTTGTCTCTTCTAAGAGTTACAAATATAGTTTTTTATTGTCTATAGTAGTTTTTGTACAAAATTTATGTGATACTCGAGGCCCTGAGGGGAGTATTTGTATGTAAGTTTTTAATAAACATCATTCAGTAAAGGTTTCTCATCAGTCCATTTTTTGCTTATCTTTTAGCTACAGGATATATTTGAAGAATTGTATTGAATCACAGGATATGTAATTTTATATTTGCAAATATATATATATTTTTTTTATTTTTTTAAGTCTCATAACCTAGTAACAAATTCCCATTTAAAAGGTACAAAAGTAAAATACTTATTTAATTTCAAACCCAAGCTTATCTTATTGCATACCCAAGTACTAAATTATGAATTTCTGTTACTGAAAAGCCATTTTAGTGAGTGACATTGAAAAATGGTGAACATTTTAAAATGTACTTGATATTTTAAGTACCATTCTTATTCACTTAGTATGTAAACAAATACTGGTAAATGAATTAACAAAAGACAAACAACATTGATCATTGACTTTATCTGATTTTTTGGTTCTAGAAAGAACTGGGGTGGCTCTGAAAAGAACTGTTTGTATGGAAGCTTGGCTGAGCTCAGTTACTCATCATCTTCAGCTTCACTGTCTGTCTCAAACTCGAACCCAATAAGCCGTATTCGCAAGCAATTTCCCGATTGTTCTTCACTGCTTTTGCTTCTGCTACAATCTTCAACTTAAAGTTTAAATCATAGGAATGACGATGAGTGCTTGGCATAATTACTGAAAATTTATGGAACGTTGAACGAATGCTCGAAGATTAAGATGAGTTTTGCAACTGATGAATGAAAGATCTGTCTGATGAGTATTGTTTATAAACATAAAAACGGATCAGTTAGTATTCATAACTTAAAACACTGTCTGTCTCACAAATTGTTGTAAGTACAGTGAACATGGTCAACAAAATTTCCCGTAATTCCCGGTGCACCTTGTAACAGGGTATTAATGTGAAATTTTCATTTTGCTTACTTGTCACAATTGTCTTCAAAAGTTTAGGGTACGTCTTATAACCGAGTGCGCCTTATAAGTGAATAAATACGGTACTTTAGTTCCTGAATGAATCAATCAGATCTCAAAAACATATCATTGAGATCTTTGGGAAACAAGATATGGTGTCAAACAATCAGTTTTGGTTTGTAATTTGAACCTTACTTTATGGAAATTAAGTACCTCAACAAACCAGTAACATGGAAGAATAAATGACAAGTCTTTTCTAAATTAAGGTTTGTCCAGTTCTTCAAGTCAACACAAAATAAAACAGACAACAGTGGTTTGAAAATTTCTGCTTCAACAGCAGTAATGTTTCATTACTAAGTGGAAGCTATCTTAAGTAAATTTTTCCAAAGGTGACTGTGTTCAGATACAAGGGAATATTTTTGTTTCTTTGCTTTAATGAAAAAACAAATCTGGGGCCGTAACCTGGTGACGGGAATTGCCTTCAATGCTTTATAAAGGGAAGTTTTCATTTCCAAATCAATAAAAATGAGGAATATAGAGTTATTGGCAAACCTGGTTGATGTCTTCTTGAGTGTGAGCAACCATAAGATCCATAACTGAACCTACAAAAAATGGAAAAGTATTTGAGATCAACAGGCATCCTAAAAATCAATTTCATTCGCTTATCAGTGTCTACAATCCATAAAAAAAATGTGTGTGAAAAAGGCAATGAGACATTACAATTTAAAAAAAGAAAAAACATTAGTCACCTTCTCAAACACTGGCTTTCACTGGAAGGGCACAAAATCCAAGGATATGGATGTTCTTGCAATCTGTGTAGCAATTGTTCCAAAGCAGATATAATAATGGAGGTAGCATCTCTCACTTCACAGAAAAACAAGAATAATATAAAGGATAAAACCAGTGCAAAATAAAGGTCAAACCATATTATTATTTCCAACAGACACTCCATAGCACAGGCAATCAAAAGGCTCAATTCTCCTTTTTTTAAACTAAATCTGACTCGCCAAAATCATAAATTGGTTGCCAAGAAGACAATTTTAGCCAAATCATTGCTCAGGTGAACTACTGTTGAATTTATTTTGCAATGGATTGAGAAGGCCTTTGTGACTATTTTAAACCAAGGGCGATTTGTCAGGATGTTCATATTAATCCATTGGTCATCGAATTAGCATCCTGTAGCAAGGCATCAAATCCAAAGAGCAAAACACCAAAGCATTTCCCATTCCGATGGAAAACACTGCTAAAACGAAAGGTCAAAATTGCTGCCGGTTAAGCAGGACGCTTGGCAGAATTGTGGATCAAGCGCCGTTGAGAAGCACTAATATTAAAACAATTACGGCTACTTCTTTGTCGAATTCCACGAAGAGGAAAATAAACCTGTTCAACAGGATTCACCTTCCGATCAAACTTGTTTCAAATAAAAAATTCCGAACACGTTGTACAAAAACTGGAAATAAAAACAGCTCAGTCCAATGTGGAAATTTGACACAGCTACTAACACAAGGATTTAATGATCGTATTGGTTCAAAACCCACCCAAAATCTGTGCGGAATAAAGACAAACGCTATAGATTCAAAGCACGTGTGCGATCATCGCTTTGCAGTGAAAGGGATGTTGAAAAAAGAGGTCGACTGCAAAATAGTATTGATTGAGAAAGAAATGCTGTTGTCGTAATTTCGCGATTATTGAACCATGGTATGCAGTGACACAAGTATCAATTACAAATATACATTCAATCTAACCCTTCCCTTTCCCTGGGTTGTTTTCTTACAAGGAATTTCCATGCACTACAGACTGGATACCCATGAAAAACTGTAAAATCACACAAATATTCACTTATAATGGAGTAGAAGACGACCAAAACTAAAATTTCAGATAAATTTGCTCAAAAGACAAAGAAATTACCTTCACAGATGCAACACAGATGCGACTCAGACGCCAACCGAACGTTCTACTTGACACGCGGCATGCGCATGAGTTGGATTAATCGGGTTCCCGTTCCCACCCAAGAGAGCGGACCCTGGGAACGAGGTTGACAAAGAATCCAGCTCCACTCCCAGATCCGCTACAAGTTATGTGTTGGTATCCTTACAAAATCGTTACATTGCATTTTCAATCAAAAGGGAACGGAAGCGAAACATTATAGGACTTGCAACTTTTGATTCAACACCAAATTTGAAAGATAAGAAATGTCTGAAACAGATGCTAATTGCGTAATCGAGAGTGAGAGCTAACATGTTGAAACATTCCTCTGCACTTCAACGTTTAAAATTTAAAAAAAAATTCAAATTAAAAACAGGGATTTTATAAATTTCGTGCTTTCCTTTAGCACAAAAAAGATTTACAGAGCAGCTGCGTCTGCAAAGCAACCTCCAACGGTTACTGTGGTCTCAGCCGCAGTCAAATGTAATCGTCACATGACGAGCCCAATCGGCGGTAGTGGGAGATGTATGGAGATGTTGCTCAGATTTACATCTGCATCAAACACCTGCTTCTACTACCATCGCCCACCATACCTAAAATTGGAATAAAAACCTAAGAAAGGTTGGGGGGGGGGGGATTGCCGAAGGTAAACACGACTATAGTACATCTCTCACGATCAGTCTCCGAGTTAAATTCGACAATTTAGTGCTAAATGTAATGGATGCTACTGATATTAAAGGATGGCTTGACTTAATACTGCATACTGTAAAAAAATCACATTTTTTTCTAATATGGCTAAGAAAACAAGTGATGCAATGATCTTTAAAAAGATCTATTGTCACATGTTAACCCTTTAATTCCCATGAGTGACCAAGACAGAATTTCTCCTTACAACATCAATACAGTATCAAGCAGACAAGTGACAAGAATGAAGAAAATATCAGTTAGGGGATCTTAAGCTGATCCAATGCCAAATTCTCCAAACTAACATCACAAAAACTGTATGGTAGACATGGTAGACTCAGAAGAATTACTAATGAGATGTTGAGAATTAAAGGATAAATAACACCTCCATGGGGTTTTTCCTTAAAATGAAGGTTGTTGACTCACAAATTAATGACTGATACCAAGAGTTGGTTAATTCAACTAATTTTATTTTAATTTTTATGTACTATCAATCCTTCAGGGATACTGGAAAGAACCCAGCTGCCAATTGTTTGAGTTCCGTTCTGAGTTCAACTGGACTCCAACAATGCACTCATTACATCAACTACCAGTAGGGCTTATATTTATATCTATCACTGTTTGAAATGTACTTTTAATTTTATCCCACCATTACACAAATAGTAATTAATGTAAAATAAATACTGTATAAAGTTCTATCAGCCAGTCCTGTACAGAAAAGTATAATATTCTTTAACAAAGAATGACTCTGGTCCAGCAGAAGTTGCAGAAAACAGAAATCCACTTGGATAATATTTCCTGTAAATAATCTTTTTTTTCTTACTTACATTACAATAATAATAGAAACATATGATATTTTACAATTGGTGTTATTATTTCTGGTATCTAGGAAATACAGTATCAATCCCAAAAGCACCTGTCCAGTAATTAGCTGAATTCAAACTGAAGTAAAACCTTCATCCTCCATTTATTATAATTACACATGCATCTATATTTGAAATTGTTTTAACCCAAAAGAAATATACAGCCTTGAGAGCTTGTAATCAATAATAATTTTTCAATTGCTTGCTTGTTCACACATGCAACACAACCAAATTCAAAACTGGACCAAAAGAAGGTTGTCAGCATTCATTTACTGCAAACCTTTTACTCAACAAACCTTTCTAGGCAAATCACCTTTGTCAAGGCTTCACCCCATCTTAAGGCAGAGAGGGAGACAAACAGACTCTCTAACAAGAAGGAAACTGTCTTCAGACACCCCATTTGTGATGTTCCACCACCTCAAACATTTTTTTAATTAGCATCTGGCTCTCTAAATCCTTCACTATGCATCTTTTTACCAATGACTTCCAAGAAAGCCTTGGCCTCAATGTTTGTATCCAATACACTTTTTTCCTCTACCTGTTTAAGAAAAAAATGACACAGTGATCTTAAGTGTAGTAACATTGAATCACAGAATTTAACTTGCCAAACGCCATAAAATTATTAGTTTTATCAGTGCATTTCAATAATACAGACAGGGTTCAAATCCTTTTCAGAAACAAATTTTAAAGACCTTTCTAAGACTTTTCTGAGACTTTTCCGCGAGATTTATTTTTTTAGGACTTCAAATTTCACTTTAAATCCTTTCATTCCCAAGATTTCAAACTCAATTCTCCTTATAGCCTACATACATTTCTTAAAATGTAAAATCTGAAACTTTATTCCTTGAGTGAAGCAAATTTCCAGGACTTTTCAGGACCCATAGTCTTTTTCCAGGACTTTCCAGGTTTTTCAGGACCCATAAAAACCCTGTACAAAGGGTAGCTTAATTTTTGTTCTGGTTTTTTTGTTACCCTACCATAGGATTAAAAAATCAGTATCATATAATTCTAGATAATTGCACTCTCCTGGCTGCAGACCTGACAAGAGCTGACAGCCAGCCAAAAACACTGGGTTGTCTGCCAGTTTTAGACTACTACTTGTGCCTCATTTTATCATAATTATTGTGATAAAAATTCCCACAATTGTTGATAATTCATCAAAAAAATTTTTGTAAAGCATCAAACATTTCTCTGGTTTTGAGAGGTACTGAATGCTTAATTTAGTCTTGCATGTAACATGACTAAACACCATGGCACCTATAACAAACTAGCTGCCTACTATTTCTCCTTTGCCTTCTGCTCTAAATCTTACTAACAGCCCTGTCGCCAGCCCAATAAAAATCACTCTTTTGTAAAGAAGCAAACAGAAAATAACTGATTTTGCTAAGGAAACACCTGCCTCATTTTCTGGTGGTACACCCACACCCCAAGCCTCAAGTCTATCAAGCTTAAACTCCTCTTCTGCAGAGAGGACTGGGCTGCCATATGTAGTGCAGGAAGGCTGCCCACGGCTATGTCCTGAGCCAAAGTCCTCATTTAACCAAAATCCAAAGTAGTTTAACTGACCTCCCATACCCTGTTAAAAGAGCAAAAAATTAGTGTTAGAGTGGAGTTAAGCAATGTAGAATACCACTAAAGCAACACCAAACATAAGTCATTGTCTGCCACTGTGAACCACAAACAGTGTATACTATCTAACTCTTACAGATTATCCAGGAGTCTCTCACATAGAAAGAGAATCTCTTGGTCTCCATTACAATTTCCTTAATCTCCCAGATAAAAGTGAATTTGGATATTTTTTTCTAAAAAAGAAATGAGATCAAGTATAATTTTAAACTTGAATTTTATCAGTAATGGTTAATGCATTTCAAGTTGTTGTCAAGTAATTCCTTTGCTATTTTAAACTCTCTCTTCACAAACAAAATTAAGCTTAATTAACAATTTGGTAGTCACTTTGGTAAAGGTCACATAGTCATAACTCGGAGAGAGTTAGTTATGACTACCAAATAACAGATGAAAGGAAGACATAACAAAATCACAAGTTTGGCCCAAAACCTCATAGTTTGCATGTTACTCAGAAGGAAAGTTATTTTTTTTATTAAGTCTTACCAATCCATTAGGCATTGTTTGCATGCCCATGTTCAGATACATGAAGTTCTCATTGTAACCAGTAGGATGATACACACCCATTTTAGGCTTCAGGCTGAACAGAAAGCAGTAGCTGTCACCTGCAAAACAACAAAATTAATAAACAAACACAAGAAAGTGTTACTTCTTGATAATAATAATTATAATAGTAATAATAATAATAGCAATAGTAACAATTACAATAATTATAATGATGGTTTATCCTATAGTTCCAGCAAGTGGCTTTCTTTTCTACATAATAAAATTATAATAGCTAATATATAAAAAAAAAACTGACCAAAAACAAATATTTTAAGAAATAACAATACATCAAACTGTTCTTGTCAGGCTGATACTGTTTATGATATCTTACTTTATTTAAAAGTTTAATAAAAGCTGTCTAATTGTTACCAAACATTTCCTGTGAATTGTCAAGAAGTGTTGTTTAGCCTAGGTGCATTGTCCTGGGAAGTTTGATCCACTTGTGGAGGGAACATACCACCCCTATACATGACATATTTCCTCTGCTAAGTCCCTAGTTCTTCAAAAGTTTGTCAATGAAAGACTATACCACCCATACTTGCCCACAAAACTCAGACTTTATCATCATAATGATACAAACCCTCCAAAAGTATGTCCATATCTCTCTGGTAAGTACCTTGTCCTTTAAAATTGTGTCAACTTAAGACTGCTCTGTGTGTACTTACCTACAAAATGAGACTTTATAGACCAACTAACTGAGGCAAACCCTCCAAAAATATGTCCACCAGTGTCTCTGGCAACAATAATCATCGGGCCTTGATTGGTGATTTGATGAATAAAAGCACTGAAGCTCTCGCCATGAGTTTGAGTGGAGAATAGTAGACGCCATTGATGTTGAGATGATTGAGGCAAGTGATGATTAAGAAGAATGATAGATGGAATGTCCAAAAGTGCATCAACTTTATTGAAATCCACTTCAAACTTGCATGGCATTATTATGTGTGACCTGAAGAGATAAGAGCTGTCTTAAAACCTGGGCATACATGTTTGAATTGAACACTTGGTCCAAAATAATCTGTGTGTAATCTTGAAAAGGGAAAGAGATGTACCCCAAGACAAAAGATAGAATAATAGATACAGTTAATAACATTTTGATCAATGACTGAACAAGGCAACATGGAATTTATTTCTTAATTATATAATAAGTTGAAATCTATGAGAAGTTTGATTGGTTCTTATCTATGAGTTTTTCGAGTATAGATGCATAAACGCATGTTGGGACTGTTCTGGTAATGGTCCCCGAAGATGTCAAAATGTGGTAAAGATTGACTCTTTTTTGTTCATACCAAATTTTGACACATCTGTGATCTGCTACTGAACAGACAGATGGAAACATGGAATGTAGTTGTTAAACTGAACAATATTCACCTGTCGTACTGTACATGTGCAACTGTCACTTCACATCCTTCCTCTAAACCATGAGGCTTGGCTTCTAACAGACTCTCTACATCAAAGAATCCAGCCCTCATAACAGCCAGAAACAATTTTTCTATCAGCGGAAATTTACTAAACCATGAAATAACCTCCTCTGGAGAAACACAACTAGGGTCTGCTTTCTTCCCTAAAAGTTCTTGAATAGCATTTTTGGCAAATCTGTGGTTTGCCTCAGCATTAGTATGCAGTTCCCATTTTGCACCATCAGTAGTTTTTTTTAATGCCATAACATAGGCATCTAATAATATTTTACAGAGTTCTTCCACCTCAACACTTGTCACTACTTGGTCAACATCAGCAGTTAAGTGGTAAAATATCTGTCCTTTCTCTGCTTTGCTCCTCTTAAAGACATGAGACATTGACACAAAAAAAGCCACCCTGCCCACTTGACCATCCTCAAGTGGATTTTTCACTACTCGGCGAGCTCGTTGAATATTACACATCTCTTTGAAGAAACGGCTGATAACGCACTCAGGTAAAAGCCATGCCAAGTGATTCTACAATAAAGAAAAAGGAAAAAGAAAAAAAAATTCTATAAATTATAGTTTTTATCCACATGTGTAGGATTTACATGCATGGCTTGATGGAAGGCAAGTATATAATGGTAAAGGCCCCTTGCTTTAATAATTCTTCATCCTCAATAAATCTCAAAAATTGGAATATAGAAAATCTCATGTCATTTGCCTTTGTGTAAAAAGCTTCCTTAAAATATGGAATGATTCTTATCGTTTTCAGAAGAATGCTTATATTCTCAATAGAAAGTTTGTGAGCCATGATTGTTTTCTTTCAAAACACGCATATTTATATAAAAGTTTGGAGATAGAAATGAAAGAGTATTTTGAAGCTTTGCATCTGGTATATTTCAAAAGTAAAACTTCTTTGTCCCAAGAACCGAATAAGAATTTTAATTTTTTCTCCTTTTCTCAGTGTTTATTCAGCCAAACTGTCACGAGTTGTAAGGTTTCCTCCTCAATTTAGCCAGTCTTAATAAAAAACGAGAAAACAAGCGAAATTAGTCCTTAGATTATCGAGAAAATTATTCAAGGAAATAAGGATGCAGATGAAAATTGTGTTGATTTTTAACAAGCGTGAATGCAACACAAGAAGGTTCAATTGTATTAGTAAAAGGCAGGTGAAATCGAAGGCGCTGAATAAAGCTACAAGAGCGTAATAAGAAAATAACAAGAACAAGAGATTTAGCGGTGCATAGCGGCTTTTCTTAATCGAGGTAATAACATTTAACACCTTCTGAATAAAACATCGATAAAAAATTTAAAAAGCTCTTCATTTGAAGTTGCAAATCAAATTAAATACGGCGATTCCCCTGTGGTAAGGCCTTACCTTAAGCGGTTCAAATTCTACCTTCATAACACCAAGATCATTAGCAGTAGCGAGCTGATTGAAAAGTGACAAGAGGTGTTGGCGTTCTTTCTCGGAAAAGGAACGGTAACTGTCCTCATATTCGATTCCTTTGCTTGCCAAAATCCCCATAATCTCTAGATCTCGCCTGCTAGTAGAGACTGGAGGACGAGAACATAAATAAGAGAAAAATTGAGAGAAGATTGGGGACGAAAGCCATGGGAAAAACGACATTACATCGACCGCACTACGGAGTTTACACGACGTCTACCGAAGCAATACCGACTACGTCCGTCAGACGTCATCCGTCAATACCTCATGTTTACTGTGTTTTCCAACATGGTGGATGAGATAGCGTTGAAAGAAGTACGTTTCAACTAATTTCGCTGTAGCCTTTGTTTCTTCTTTTAAACGGTATATTTTGATGCTACCTTTCACGTTTACTTCAGATGATGGACAAAGATTTACCAGAAGTCATTTCATCCATGAGAGAAATGGGTGAAAAGGTAAGAAAATACTCACGTGGCTTTTTCCACTTCGATTTTCCATAAAAAGCAAACCCTAGGACGTAATTAATCCATCAGAAACGTCGATCATAAACGAGATCGACAAGATAATATTCTTGACTTTTAAACGGAGTTCTTATCATTGTGATTTTAGGGAAAGGAGAACATTTTGGTTCATAATGCATGTGAAATTACTTTACGAAGTAGCATCGCTCAAGACTGATACTCTCACTTACATAATGGGAGGAGGGGGTGGTTTTATCTTTGACCATATCTGGATGCTCGGCGGAGAGGAGGTAGGGGGGGTGAGACACATCGGGAAATTAAAGTGTTTTGTGCCACTTAAGTCTTTACCCTTTAACCCCTAAGAGTGATATATTACCAACAATTTTCTCCTGTCAGGATCACCCATAAAACAAACATCGAGGTCATGAGAATAAAAGAAATGATCACCAACTAAAGACACTGCTGATTGTTGAACAAATTCTCTCTGTCAGTACCATTAGAAATGTATAGAGAACAGTATGGAGAAAATGTATACTGATGTTAGGGTGTAAAGGGTAAAGTAATTAACTAAAGAAGAGATCATAGTTATTTTCTCCCCGTACCCCCCTCAGATGTTATGTAAACTGTCTATCACAGGCTAGCCCCATACCTCCCTTCCAACATTCACTTAGGAGTCTTTAATCTTGACTGCCTAAAGAAAACCCTCCATTTACTCCAAGGCCAACATACGCTTGGTGTATTTTTTTCTCTAAGATTTCAGATATTAACCAGCATGCAGAAAGCTTACTAGTAAAAATTACAAGTGGATCATTGGCAACAAAAAAGGTATGTTAGTTAGATGTGTCAATTAATTTGTAGATATCCTCGAAAAAACAAACTTGGTTTGCTCTCTTTAAAATCTTCTTTAAACTAAATACTACAGCTGCATATCACATATTTCAGTCTATTGCATCTTGTATTTTTCAGGGTGTGAGTTTTTTAGAACTTAAGTTTCATCTTCTCCTTAGGTAGGTACCTAGATGGAAAAAAGTGAGTATTAAGAATTTGAATGAAAGTTCCTTTTATTAATGTTAAATCAAGCTAACTTTCACTCCTCCATCTTAAAAGCAACTGGTTAACATCATCAATTTATTTCAGACACCATCAGATCCAATCAGGAATATTATTTGCCATCCTAATCATTCTGTTGAAATTAGCTTTTTCAGAAGTTTTTTTATTGATCTTATAAACTTACAAATTGTTTCTGACTCAGTTAATCATGATGTCTTCTTGAGAATTTAAAGTCTGAAATGTCAATTTTTAAGTTTTAACATTATCATTCCATTAATCTCAATGGATTTAAATAAGATGTGGAATAAAATTTTGTTGCTCAAATGTATGGTTATGATCAAATAATGAACTGTCTATTGTAACAATTGAGGTTTTCCAATCTTGGGCAGGAACCTTTTCTGTCAGTGGAACTTAAGAGAGTTAAAAGTATACTGGAAAGAAATAATTACTATGGTGACCATTTCCCTTTATTTTTGTGTCACTGACAGCTATGTTATCGATCTCACTTACTACTTGTTAACAAAAACTGATGGGAACTCATGGCAGGGAGATCCAGCTGTGGACAGATTAGTTGAAGCACGTACAGTGAGTGTATACTTAAACATTTTTAGTTAAGATCTCCTTAAATATTGTGATTAAAAGTGTTTTCATAACTTTTATTTTATATCATTATATTTCCTTAAGGTTTTGGAGAAACTGAGACCAATTGATCAGAAAATGAAATATCAGATTGATAAAATGATCAAGACTGCTACAACTGGAGCAGTCTCAGGTATATTAACAAACATTTAGCCTCCCTTCTCTTAGTTGGGTCTTAATGTAGTTCTAAAATCAGGGTTTTTACAGGTCCTGGAAAACCCAAGAGTCCTGGAATTTTATTTGGACATTTTATTTCCAGGACTGGAAAGTCCTGGAAAATGACTACAGGTCTTGGAAAGTCCAGGAAATCCACTTAAATCAAGCAATGATTTATTCATGATTTGAATATGACAAAACCTTGCAGTTTGGCAGTGAGTTTGATGAATATGCATGTTAGTGGGCCTGTTTTTTTTTTTTTAATTTAAATTCCTTGCACATTTTTTTTTCTCCTAAAGGTGCTGAAATTGATCCTTTGAGATTTAAGCCAAATCCAGACAACATGGTTTCAAAGGTATTTCATTATCTATCCAATTTTTGTCAATAATCTTACAAAATGTTAGGCCTCAGATATCCCTTTTCACCCCAGGGTGATAGCAAATGAGTGTGTCAGATCCCAGACCATCCATTCAATACAAATACTGTTTTGCAATGGATTGAAAGTTTCCTCAAACCATGTGCTCTTGAATAGAGTTGTGTATCTTGTAGCCTTTGTATCTTAAGGGCAGTTTTACTGCCATTAGTTTTCATTACAAAAAAAACATGTCTGTATGAGCCTTTCCAAGTTTAAAATTATATTTTGAGACTTGAGATCATGATCATAATTTATCATAATACATGTCATATAGTTGAAAGAATTGCTTTAGGGAATGCATTTGTTGATTTTTTAAATTCATTACACAAAGCTTGACAATGAGGATTCACAGAGTAGTGACGAGGAAGGTGCCCCTAAAAAATCCAAAGTTTATGTTCCTCCAAAAGTAGCAGCTGTTCCTTATGGTAAGTCTGGAAATCTGGTGGAATTTCATCAAGTATCATGATTTTAATAGCCCAATTTTAAAATTATGATATTCACAGTAGGACAAAAGACTTCAACAGAAGGCTCCTGGGAGTAAACAAGAGAAGTTGTGTGGTTTTTTTCCTCAGAGCTATCCCTTGTTGTGATGTGAGCCCTTGTGCAATTCCCTCACTGCAGTCCACGTTGCCAACTCTTGGTGCCTTGTAAAAGGTGCTTGAAAAAAAGAAACGGTTAATGTAGTGAGAATGAGCACTCTATATGGCTTGAGGATCTCAGATTTTTCTTTTCTCCCATGCTTGTGACAAGACGTATATAACGTAGTTCTTTCTTCCACTGCTGAGCTCGAAATGTAAATCTTTCGAATTTTTTATATTCACATATTGTTTTAATTAAATTCCAGATGATAAAGATGATAAGAAGACTCGGAAAGAGAAAGATGAAGAAAGATCAAGGAAAAGGGTTTTGACTAGCTCTGTTTTACACGATCTGAGAGGTACAGTACATTTGAACAAGACGGCGGCGTGGAAGCAACTGTTTAGACCTATAATCATTTACTTTAATTTTCTTGTTTTTCTTTCAGACGAATACAGTGATGCACCACAAGAAATTCGGGTATGGTTATCTACTTTTGCCTTTAAGAATCTTCAAGAGCTTTTTCTCAGAACATTTTGCTATCTCGATCAGAGAATTTGATTGTTGGACAAAGTTTATAACTCTATTTTTTCAACCATTTGTTCTTTAATTAATTAGGATGAAACTGTTTCGCGTTGGAGAAAACAAAAAGAGAAGGACGAAGAAGAGGAGCGAACGAGGTAAACTGTATGGCTTGTTCTCGATCGTTTTGTTTAGAGCGCATTCGGATTGGGCGTCTTCAGAACAAAACCAAAGTAGTGCAACGTCCAATCAAAAGAAATTTTAATATCACAATGAGCCAAAGCAAGTATCAGAAAACTTCCTGAAACGCGGGAAAACGCAAAGACCCAGTCGCGGTTGGTTTAACCCTTAACCCCAAGGAGTGTCTGGCATTTAATTTCTCTACACAGTATCACCCCTTAATCAAACATTAACGTCACGAGAATAAAGGAAATGGTCACCTACTAAAGAGGCTCTCAATATATAAACGCATTCTCCTTCTCAGCAACCTAGGAAATGTATAGGGAACAGTATTGAGAATATGCATACTGATGGTAGGGTGTAAAGGGTCAAGTATTGCATTTCGTTTGTTGAGAGTGACCAGTGCGAGTTTTCTAGATCAATCACAGAAAACATTGAAGCAGACTTTATTTAAACGGTTCATCGGATTTCTTCGCTTACTCGATATTATCAGTGAAGTGGAAATGAAGATTGCTCGCTATATGCTATCGTGTTTTTTATATACTTGTTTAGTTTTTCGGTCACTGGATGTGTTATCGACCATGCAAAGTTGAAAGTTTAATGCGAGTGTTTGCACTTGCTAACGGAAAATACCAATCGTATTCCTGGTAACACTAAACATAATATTTCATTTATCTTTCGTCTTAGATATGAAGAGGAGAATCTACTTCGCCTGCCAGCCAAGAAGAAGAAAAAGGTAAGTTTGTTTGTCAACATTATTATTTTATTTATTGATTTCAGCACGCTACTGACCAACTAAACTTTATTTGATTATTAATCTAGATATCAGAGCGTGCCCAGTCAGGCATGGACGAGCTGACCTCATTCGCTGATTTGCCTGTATTAAATGACGATGAAACGGTTAGTATAAAGTTTTTCAGATCTCTGTGATACAATTACTGTTTGGTCACTTTGATCAACAAGGTAATAAATGGCTCAATATTATCGGCAGAGTGAAAACAATTATGCAGGTTTGGGTAGTCGGGTAGCGTCTCGATCCCAAACTCCCTCTGTTTTTTTCGCTAAGCCGCCATTGTCACGCCATTTATCATTTGGCTGCTGAACGCCTGAAGGAGGCTGTCTGTGTATGTGCTGTGATATTTACTGTTTCGTTTGTGTTTTACAGAGTGGTGATTACTCAACCAGGTCCAGGTAATTTTATTTCTTTCTTTTGTGTTTTTATTGTACTGTGTGTCAGTGTTTGGTTATTGGGTTTTAGCTCTGCTTTTCCATCGATTGAGGATTACTACGAACAGTGTCGGAAGGGGGTGGGTTGTACCCACGCCACCTGTGTGGGGAACAAAACTAATCAGATCAAGGAGTAAAATCTAAGAAGGGGCCTAATGAGAAATCAGAGTAAAAACGTAAATAACTTCAAGTGCATGAAACCACGGTTAGTCCAGTCGCGATTAGTTTTTCTTGCTTGCGCACGCGATTGGTTAAAAATGTGGCGCCAGATTTTTAGACCAATCACAGCGCCCCAATACAGACCCTTTTGATCTATTACCAGTCCACCCATGCTCATCGATTTACTCAATGTGTGTTCCTTTCTCTTGCAGTTCGCGCAGTAAAACATCAAAATCTAAGGTAGAGTATCTTCTTATGATTCCAAATGTAACCCTGATTAGAGATTTTAAAAAAAAATTCTCCCAGACTCTGTAAATCATCAACTATACAACGTTGTTTTCACCCCAATGTAAAATGCTCTTGTAGTTATGATAACATGTTTTTTGCAGTGGAAGAAAAAACGTGGAGCTACGAAGAAGGGAAGGAAAGGTTAGTTATACGAACTTATCTTACTTATTTGAAATTACAAGATAATTAGGTTTTATAATGTTGGCATTGTAGAGAGTTGCCAAAGCTGACGTTTCGAACGTCAGCCCCTCGTCACTCGCGCTGACAAGGGGATAAAGCTCAAACGTCAACTTAGAAACTCTTCGCAAATTTCCCTTTTTTTTCCTTAAAGTAACTTCCACCGACACAGCACCACAGTTGTTCTAGAAAGATTAAAACCTTCTTTCGATAACTGTGTTATCTCTCTTTGCTTGTCAATCAGGGTTCGCTGGAAGACGCCGAAGATGAAACAAGAAATCAACGAGGCGAATTGAATGATTAAAAAGTGAAACGTTTTCGCGGTCTTTATTTTTTGTGTTTGTTTCTACATTGTTTTCACTCACTTTTTTGGCAGACTTCACATTCAATCGCAGCACTTAAAAGATACTCGCCATAATGGAGTTTAGCCAAAATCAGCTGGAGAAACATCGACACAAGCAAGTAATCCCACCTAAATGAACTTGATAAGAAAATCTAGGCTCAAGGGATCTGGTAGCCTGTTGGACCGGCGTATTTTTACAGTTGCAGAAGAGCGGAGGCGCGCACGAGGCACAAACGGGCGTGTCTTGTACCTCGTTCTTTCCTTGATACACCCTCTTTCCAGCCTCCTCACATCTGAAAAGCGTAAAAAAAATAAATAACGCCCATTGGCCCCTATTTCTACGGAGAAAGTCGCGTGCATATCGTGCCTTGCTGGGATGTTTTCACGAATTAACTGTTCACTATAGCGTGATTCAGTCTTGCATGCTGGTATCTTAACAGTTTTTTGTTTCACATTTTCTGCAACTGCTAAGAAAGAAACGTGTTTATTCGGTTCTCGTCGGTTTGTTGTAGTGACTGCGATAAGATGTTCTACCCTTTGAACTTGCGTCAATTTTATTCGACCAAAGCCAGGAACCTGTTGATGTGGTGAATAAATGAATGAAGGTGTAACTTAATCACACCTTACTCCCTTCTTTCTTTTGTCTTTGTAGAGAATACTCGCATGGTTTCGAAAGCAATTTTCTTGAAATAAGAACGATTCAATATTTCAGGCCGACAAAATTGCGCGATCCCGTAGGGCGAGTGCCATTTCTAACCTAAGGAATTTATGAGTTCTTATCTGTGCCAAGTTACACGAGAATTCATGTCATTACTTATTAATAATTGTACTAGGACCGTGTGGAGTCCAATTCGATCTGGAATCATACGAGTGATTACCACGGTCCGATTGGTAATCACGTGTGTGATTACAAACAGAATTGGACGACAATAAGTCTTGTTACGAATTAATCATAACCATTCAATTTCTGAAAAAACAAATACACCTAGTATAAATATCTCCAGTGGCAACAATGTCTTGAGTTGAACATTCGTCTATTTTGGGAAATTTCCCAGTTTTTTCTTAGGATAAGTGGTTGTTGCTATGGTTATTATGATCAATTCTGTGATTGGTGGATTTAGCTGAGTGAACTAAGTATGGGAGTATTGATACTCCTCAAATGACACCCTACTAGTGGTTCATCAGATTTTCCTCAAGTATTTATATGCAAAGCCATGAATAGGAATGCAGGGTGAAGTAGAAATCCCATTTTCTAGTCCAAGTTTTGTCCAAATCAAATTTCACAGCCTAATTTTTGTCAAAATCTTTCTCCAATTGCATTTTTTGTGCATGCTTTCCTGGGACTCAAGTCAAATTTATTTTCACTAAAAAAACGAAGCAAATCCTCGTTCGTCATTTACCAGTTCAGGCCTCTCTGCACATGGGTAGAACCAAAGAAGCCATATCACCAAAAGAAGCCACATCACAGTTTATGTGCATCTTAAAAGATTTGTCTCAAATCTTTGTGTGTTCATCAATAATTATCATTTGCAATTCATTTTAACATTCTCCACTCTTAAAAAATTTGTTTCTTTGGTTTATTGTCGGCTTTTGCCTACCCTGACCAGCTATTATTCAACGGTTTGAAAAAAAAGGTGCAAAGGCCTCCCCTCCCCTCTCCTCCCCTCTCTCTCCTCCCCTCTCTTTCCCTTCCCCCTAAAAATCTTCTAAAATATGACTGTAATAAGAGGATGATAATAGTAATGACAATGATAGTGATAACGACGATGACTATGACGATGACGATGATGATAATGATGACGATGGCCATTACCATGACGATGATGACGATAATGAAAATGATAAAAAAAAAACAAAGTTTTATCGTTCGTCCGGCGATATAGTTAACCTATTAGATTCAGCTTTTCTCTTTTTCTCCACAGTGCTTCATTGTGCATATCATCCTGACCATCTTACTGGTGGCTTGTACACTGAGCCACGTGTTTCATGCGCATGAGATGTCCAAGGCTTACGACTTACTGCCCTTGGCTATAAGGATTAATCTTGATGAGCTCTACTTAGCACTGGTAATCTAGAACGGCATTCTATCCTTTAAGCCTTAATATGTGCCACAGAGAAAAAAGTTTACGAATATGTTATGGGACCTTTTATCATTACAGGGAAAATAGACGCATGAAGAGAACTCAGATTCGTAAGTAGTTCGCCGAGTAGAATCCGTTTTTATTGTTTGAAGCCAACTTATCTACATACAAAACATAAACAGCCGCCTTATAAGGGGAAGGTGGGTTTTTCTTTGAGGAGTGAAACTTAATGATTTAAGTAATCCAAAACTTTTTTCCTCACTAAACCCCAACCTGTAATAAAGATTTTCTTCCTTTTTCGACAGATTTTTGGTTTTCTGATCTGCTTTTCTTTCTTTGAAAGCGTTCGTTTGTTCTACAAAATGATCCTTACACAAAGAGGAGAGGAAGAAACCGACAACACTGCACAGATGGCTCAGGGGCCTGGTATTCAGTCTTCTGCAATGTAACCCAAAGGTGCCATTTGAACAAGGAAAGAAAACCTTTATCTAGCTTAAGAGATATACCAGCGTGTTGAACCCAGTTAGCGTTAGAGATGCCTGAAACGATTTGGTAAAGTTGATGAGATATGTTTCTCATTGTAGCTATCCTTTTTTGCCATGTTAGGTTTCATGTTTTTGTGCTTTACACCATGGGATCACGCTTGTTTGTATTTTTTCAGCCGGATTGTTCACAGTTATGTAATCGGGATAATCAGTTAAAAAAAAAAAACCGACAAATTTCTCTGTGATAAGTTTTTGTTTAGTTTTTTTTTAACCTGACTGGGCCTAACCAATATACTGATATACTCTTTTTGAACTTACTGACTTAGAGATGTAGTCAGTCACTTTATGTGAATGCAAAAAAAAAAAAAGTTTGTACATGGTCAGAGTGCTCCTGACTTAAACTGCAACACTGTTGTTCTCGTCTTTGATTTAGAAAAATATTCTTACAATGGATTTCCAATGTTTCTGAAGTAATTCGCATAAGATAAACTATTTTTGCGTAGTGATGAGACAAGGGTCGCTTTTAGTTAACCCTTTACACCCTAACATCAGTACGCATATTCTCCATACTGTTCTTTATACATTTCTTAAGGGTCTGAAAAGGAGAATTTGATAAACAGTTAAGAGTTCTTTAGTTATTGATCATTTCCCTTATTCTCATGACCTTGATGTTCGATTCAGGGCTGATATTGTAAGGAGAAATTAGATGCTAGTCACTCTTAAGGGTTAAAGGGTTAATTCTTAGATTGCTGTTTGGTTTCCTGATGTAATGTCACAACTTGAAATCATATGCTTTGTAGAAAAAGCGGAAAGAAGTTCAGTTCACCGCGGAGAAAAATCGTGTGTGTTCGCCAGGGGATTTCGTTTCCCTGTTATGGTCGATGATACAGAAAAGCAAAAATGTCAATTAGAAAATAATGTGTTTATTTTAACAATGTCTGCGTGCTGTCTTAAGGAATACTTATATTTGGCAGCATGTTGAGCCACAACTATGTTAGTTATTTAGGATTTATAAACATGTATTATGCTTTTAAACAGAGTATTAAATATAGACGGTAATTTAAGTTAGTTCCATCTCATTCCCCGAAATTGTTGCGGCTGCTTTCAATTGAGTGTCGAAAGCAATCTAGGTTTTCAAAACTATGAAAGTGTGTTTGAATTTAAAATTGAACGCGATTACAAACATAGGAAGGGCGTGTGATTAACCGCCTTCAATAGAAGGTTCTGTAATAAACACTTCTTTATTCCCTCCGAATCAGGACAAAACGATATCAATTCCTCTAAAGAAGCTAAGCCTGACAAAGCTCATTTAATAAGCACTCTTGAGCTCGGTCAATACGTTTTTTTATCTTATGACTACTAAGTTAAAAATTATGAAAGCGTGTTTGAATTTAAAATTGAACACAATTACATAAATAAGTAGGGTGCACGATTAACCGCTTCAATAGAAGGTTCTGTAATAAACACTGACTTTATTTTGTTTCTCCGAATCAGGACAAAACGATAACAGTTCCTCTAAACAAGCTCATGTCTGTTTTATTCTAGGTATACGACCACAATTAGAATTCACGTTCTCGGAAAAAGCAACCGAACCGCTCGAATGTCATTTTTCTACTAATGTTTGGGTAACTGCGTAAACGGCCTCAAAACTTGTCTTCCCTATCTTTCAAGGAAACCTATCGCCTTTATAATTTCTTCGGGTATCGAGTTCGTACGCAGAAAATCGGCGAAATAATCATTGCTTATATGAAGATTGTAGCTGAAGTCGTCTTTGCGGTGAGCTGAGCGTAACTCATTTTTTAAATGTTTAGGTTGCTTCATAAACAAGCTTACGGCTTCTCTTTCTGTCTTTCTAAGAAACCGCTCAAGTGCCTTATTCAAGTATCGAGTTTCTTCGCAGAAAGTCGATGAAATAACGATCATTGCCAATCTGCAGTTTGTGTCCGAAGCTAGAGGAGTTTTTAAGGGCCTCAAAACGCTCAGAAAACGAATGTATGTTTATAAACCAAGTACTAGTAATATTAAAATTGTGAAAATGACCTTAGATTTCGAATTTTAGACTCTCGCTAAAGATACAATGCTCCTCAATGCCTAAACATATGATTTGCATTCTATGGATGGACACGAACGGAGTGTTAGTCAAATCAATGAAGCGGGATTTCTGGTACAGACGACGAAAATACTAAATTTTTGCCCCAAAAGGATCACGAGATCACGCGCTTGGGAGACATGCCATATTCTCCATATTTAGGAAAGTCAACTCGTTGTTGTAAAAATCTAGCTAGGGACTTCAAAAAGGAGTCCTTTAGGGGACTCATTCAATTTAATGTCCATAGCTGCGAGATTCCGCAGTTAAAAGAATAGAATTAGGATAAAAGGATGCAATGAAAATTATACTATTTCGGGTCTACTACAGTTGATCCCTTTCAGATGATCTTTTCTTCATTAGTTAGCAGGTTGGTCGGGCTAGAGCTAGAGATCAGGTTTTTGTGTCATAAAGAGGTGATCTTCGCAGTAAATGAGCCCACCAATAACAATTTGAGTAATTTAATTCGAAAGACAAATGTAAAACAATGAAATTGTACGTTTGTGACGGCATGAAGTATCTCCAATTTCCAGGACTCTTGAAGTCATTTCCTCTATTCCTTTTTGATTTGACCCAAAGGTTATGTTCATATACTTACTACTTTTATTAAGGGGGTAGGTGACAAAGCGCGATAGTTAACTGCAATATACGTTATTCAACAATAATCTGAAGTCGTTCCGCAACTTTTAATAACACCGCGAAAATTGATAGACATGCACAAATGCTGCTTTATCATCAAGCAAACATTTTAGGACTTTGAATTTTGTGGCTCAAAGAAAACATCATTTTAAATATTTAACTTCGATAATGGTATCATATAAAGTCGCAGTTTCCATCTAACCTAGTCATTTTTCCAACATAGAACGAAAGTTAATATGATTTTATAAACGAAACCTCACAGCTGAGGGTTCTTCCAAGGGGCTGAGATGTCTCCATGGTAAATTGTGTACCTTAAATAATCAATAAATTTGACTTTTGTTTGATAAAATCTTCAAGGAGACAATTGATAATAAAATATATATTGCTTTTGAGGCTATTTGATTTAAAGAGTTTAGACATCTTTTTGCTACCATTGAACCAACTGACGTAACTGATATTTAAATATCTTAATAAGAGTATTTATAGAGTTCATAGACAAAACAGAGTCACGTGACCACAGCAAACGTCAGCTTAGCTCAGGCAATAATTCGTTATTTCAACCACAGGTGAAGTCAAACGTCAAACCCACGGTCAGACCAGTTATACAGTCATGCAGCAGATATCTTCTAATCAGCCACGGGCAGTGTCTGGAGCACAGTGTCCAATGGAACAACAAGGGCATGTCCCCACTGGACAACAAGGCTATGCCCCCACTGGACAACCTGTTCAATCCGTTCCAGGCCCAGGTGTCCCTATACAGCCTCTAGTGAACCAACCTAGGGTAGGGCGGATCGACAAAACCTACTTGAAAACTGCGCTAGGCATCATGAGAGATTTGGAGTTTGTAAGTAGTTGAAGGATATGGAGGGGTTTTATTTTAACGAATGATATCGGATTGACAGGGGTTTTGATTTAAAACTTTGCTCGATCCAAGTAGTATCATATTTAGATTTCCATGTGTAGATGCTTTTTCTTCTACCCTCTTTCTAAGTTAGAATTCATTAAGAAGCCTCGTTGGAACACCACTTGTGGTGCTCTCTTGCTCTTTTACGGCTTTGTACCAACAACCAAAGAGTGATGGTCATACTCATTGTTCATGAGTGTACCTTATCCTCTTACACTGTTCTTATTGTTATTTGCCTGGCCATGTGGTATCGTTTACTTAAATCGTACTTTCGGTTTGGATGGTTGAGCAACGTTCTTCGCAGGAGTCTCCACATTTTGTTGGGTAATGGTGATAGTCCTCCAAACTGTGTTAATGCTTGGCATCCACAAAGACCGGCGATACTTGAGGACGCCATCATATATCGATATTTATCATGGTTACTGTTTTTTTCCCTAGCTAGATTCTTTTAACCTAAGTATTAAAAATATGTAGTTCAGACTTTTTATTAGTAAAACTGTGGCACCTATTACCCTAAAGAAGCGATGATCGTAAGAGACACGGTCGTACGTGGTGTCACATAGAATACTCTACCTTTTTTTATATATCGTTTGTTGACCCCTAGTTGAAATAAAACTTGGGGTATAAACTGTGATAAAAAGTCTCACTGAACTGTCAATGGTTACCTTTCTTAGTTTTGATAAGCAAAACCTCATTATGGTAAATAATGAAGTTACAACAATCGCGACACAATGTTATCGATTTTGCGATTTCGTTATTTTAGTTTTCCCCCTTTTATCATACTTTAATGGCTTAGCAACAGATGAAAAAAAAAACTATTATGTTTTTTTTTTGTAGCATGAGGCGACTAGGAGTACCCCCCGGGATGAGACACTAGTCTATCGCGAAGTTACCTCCAAGCAGTTTCATCAATCTTCCCTGACAATTCGCCACTGACCCTACTCCTACAGGGTGGAGAGAGGTACTGTGAGAGTTTAGTGCCTTGCAAAAGAACACAAAGCTCCACAACCTACGTAGCTTTCCAGTTAGGCTCAGACAAAAACAATTCTCAGAAATCCTTCTTATCGTTCTCGGGAAAGCTAACTTTTCACCAAATATTATTTTTGAAGTCTCTGAATAGGTATCGTATTCCAAATAATTTTTATGAAAATCAACACTTCATCTATTAACTATTAAAAATGGATTTTTAGCCCCCATTTTAGAGAGACTTATACATTTTGTTTGTTACATCTGTATGCCATGTCCGAAATTTGAGTGAGCATTTACGTCCCCTGCTTCCATATTAGACAGATGTTGGAATAAGGAAAACCATTGCAAAGTTATAATGCAAGTCACCAGTCAAATGCTATACATATAAGCATAAAATTATCATATAATCGGAATTTTTGAAAAAACGGCTGAGAAATCAGACAATATTTCATCAAAATCTTACAA